GGTACCAGTGTCGCTGTGAAGTTCTACCCACAAGTCTGTGCGGGACGGATAAGGTACCAGTATCCCTGTAAAGTTGTACCCACAAGTCTGTGCGGGACGGATAAGGTGCCAGTGTCCCTGTGAAGTTCTGGCCCACGAGTCTGTGCGGGACGGATTTGGTACCATTGTCCCTGTGAAGTTCTACCCACAAGTCTGTGCGGGACCGGTTAGGTACCAGTGTTACTGCGAACAAGTCTGTGTGGGGCAAAATAGTTTGAGCTAAGAACGATTGAAAGACTACAAGACAAACAGTACGAAACATCATTATTTTATTGGTCTATTCCTTTCTCTGTTTATGTTTATTTCTAGAAAAAGCTTTTATCAAAAGATATAGAAAAGTGAAATATATATATATGTATATATAGCACTACAGACCTTTAGAGTCATAGCATTCTTACTGAACTATTGTACTTGACTATTGCGGCATCGCGATCATTTATCAAAAGTGTGATTTAAATTACATGATATATCTTTTACATTTGTAAGATATCCTCGTTATAAGCTTTTTTTTATCTAGTTTTACGTGCAATAATAGTATTATAAGTTTTGTTTTATTATTACTTAATGACCTCTGAATCTATCTACAATTCGTTTTTGTCCTAGTGTATATTTAGCAGATATTTAGCTGTTGTAATTGGTAAATTATATAAAACAATATCTTTACTATAGAAATTGGCTGTGTCAAAACTATACAAAATAGATTCTGCATATATTTCAGTTGGCATAACTTGTGGATATAGAGTATACAATCGTCTGTAGTCAGTCTAGACCTGGGATCTAGCCAACTAACTGAATCAATGTCTAGCTATAGGAGGTATCTCAAAGTATAAATCTGTGAGACTTTCTCCGCAACCCGGTACGAAAAGGATGACCAGGATGTAAAGCGAAAAAATTTGGAATGAGGGTGAAGTTATGAGTATTTGTTATCTTCTTTCGCTTCACTCGTTTTATAAAATGAAAAGTGAACGAATAGTGAAGGTGAAGAATACAAAGCCGCTTGAATGTTTAGTCAAAGTTATTGTAAGGATCGAATGAATCCAAATACTCTCCCAGTGTTTGATAGCAGAATTCGTATTGTTCCTGAAAATAATGAAATATGGATTAGATTTTAACAAATAGTAATATCTGTCTGTCTATCTGTCCGTCCGTCGGTATGTCTGTCTGTCCGTATGTCTAGCTGCCTGTAAGTCTGTCTGTCTTCCCGTCCGTCTGTCCATATGTCTAGCTGCCTGTAAGTCTGTCTGTCCGTCCATCTGTCTGTCTTTATTCCTGGTTATCCCTACCTTGGTTTGTACCATCGCTGGTCTTTGTTCTCTCAGTTGTTTGACAGTCTGAAAGACGTCTACAACTGCCTCAGCCTTGAGCCTTTCTATCAGAGAACTGACAGCACAGAACACGCCAGTACGACCAACACCAGCACTGAAACAAACATGTCAGGTTACATCACGTGTCAAGAAAAGTCAGCAAACCACAGGGATACCAACCTGCAGTGAACCGTCACCAAGGTGTTTCCACATCTTTGTTGCCATCTTTGTACTTGTCCAATAAGATCAGTGAGTCCAGCACTTGAATCAGGAGAACCAACATCAGGCCATGCAGTAAAGTGGTACTGTCTGACGACTCTAGACGCACTTTCCTGAAGGTACAAACAAGTTGTCACATCTACTGGTGATATATTGGCATACTTTATCATTGCAGGCTCTACCTCTTTTACTCTCTTCCTCATTCCCCCTCCCCTTCACTCTTCCTTATTCCCCGCCTACCCCTCCCATCCCAAAGAGTGCAACGCCAGTCGGCTACCAATATACCACCTACTAACCCCTGTATTGGTGACTTTGAATTCTCTCATAATATAGTCCTCAAAGTTCTTTTCTTGTGTCATCTCGACTACGAGGTTTGCTATGGCTGTTGGAGCATTACCAGGCCAGTAGCGATGTACCTTAACCTATCAAAACAAAATGTTATACTTACTATCCCATCATGCTTTGATGGAGGGAGTTAGGTAAATTTAAAGGTATATCTTTTAACACTGAATATCATTGTATTTGCAAGGTACCTTTCCGCTCTCCATTTCTTGTGATAACATGACGATAGCATGACATTCTTGTTCCCAGATCATTCTCCAAAAATCTGGGATGGTGTCAGGAATAGGGGCCTGGGTAGCAATGAAAGCTCTTTTGGACATGTAACCGCCAATATAGTTGGCATTGATGTAATCCGAGCCATCAACCCCTGGTTGGATAGATAATTTGACACGTGTGTCATCATATGGTAACACATTGGCGTAACGGTTCTTGTGTTTGTTCACTGGTAGATTTGCTGCTTGGAACTTAGAAGGAGGCGCCTTGTTACGAGATAATCTCTGGAACTGAGCCTCCATCTCTGTTTGACCTACAACAAGCGATGAAAACCCTGATCAGTCTTATCCTATTTGTCATGCAAAAATCCCTTTGATAATACAGCAGAGCGTAGACTAGCCAGGACAATGAGCTGAACCTGTTTGTTACCTGTTTCAAGGTTTTGTTCCAAGAGGTTCTTTATCTCTTTCCTTAGATCACGTGCTTGTATCTCTGTGTTGCCGCATGCTATGGCTTCTACTAACGCATCGTGTATCAGAATATATTGGTCTTCTACTTGAACCATCAGGTTGCGTTGAGATCGCAGTAACATTACATAGTTGTATACGTCCACCGTGTTCTGTTGTTGGATTCTCTTCAGCTGTGCATCAATAACTAAGAACGTACCTAAATAAGACCACACAATGAAAGTCCCGTTACATCGCTGATCACCGTGTTAAATAAAACCACACAATGAAAGTCCCGTTACATCGCTGATCACCGTGTTAAAT